TGAAACATAATTGAAAGTCTAATCAAATCTAATTCTACTTTATCTAGAAAAGCATTAACATATTAATTAAAAGACTATAATTTAATTAAAAGATAAAATATTCTCTCTTGAGAAAAGCTGAGATATAGTCAAACCCTCTCTCCCATGTTGTAATCGGTTTATGCTTATAAATTTTTAATTAATTTATTGTGAAATATTGGTGTTGAAGTGGTGTAAGAATTCTTCTTCTTTGAGTAAAAATCAAAGTCCTTTAAGTAGGAATCAAATTTCTTCTTTAAGTAGAAATCAAATTCATTTTTTAAGTAGAATTCAAATTTCTTCTTTAAGTAGAAAATAAAATTCCTTCCTTAAGTAGAATCCCAATGAGGACTTTGCATAGGAGAAAAAATTCTTCCCCTTGATGCTTCATTTTTCTTCTTAAATTCTTATGCCATAAAATCCAAAGAGGATTTTGGGTAGAACTCACATTTTTCCTCTCTTTCTCTTGGTCACATTTCCTTCTTGAATCTTGAATGTTGATTTTAGTGTTAGGCTAGTGGAGGAATGGGTCTTAGGCCGACAATGAATCCTTATTCCTATGGGATTGGGGCTTCTCGTGGGTACGAGAACACCTTTTCATGTTGTCTTCGTGTGCGTATGGGCATTTTTCCTTGTTGTCCTCGTGCACGTAAACATCTTTTCTTAGGATTCTGTTTGGACTTTTAGGGCTGCTTTTGATTTAGTCGTGCTTACATCACCCTTCTTTAAGGTAGTTCTTCCTTCTTCTTGCGCCAAATCTATTGAGACTTTTACTCATTCTTAAGCAAGCATATATGACAATTCAAGAAGAGAAAGTAGCAATTTAGCTATTGTGAACAGAGAGGAAGAAGCCAAACACCAGAATTTGAAAACATCATGTATGCATGTTCAGCCCAAGAATTTTTGGAGAATTTTCTTCAGAATTTTTGAACAAATTTAGGAAAGTTAATGCCTGATGTTCTAGTCTAACAACATAAGAGATTAAGGAACCCAAAAACAAAGGGAAAAATTGATTTACGATGAGGAATTGTAATGAAAATAGAACTGAAAAACTAATCAAAACATAACCTTTTTGCTCAAGTTAGGGGACAAAGTTTTGGAAGATGATTTGTGTCAATTTTAATAACCAAATGAAGGTGATTTTTAGCCAAAAGTAAGGTGAAATTGGTAATTTTGTAACATGTAAAGATTTTGATTTTTTTAGATCAAATACTAACATTTGTTTACTCTTTTACAAGACATCCGAGCACATTT